CCAGGCTTGTAATCGCGAAAAATTTATAATAATATATAATATAGTAATATAGCATGTAAATCAAAAAACATCATGTCACTCATTTCCGCCAAGGGCATACAAGCTTTATAGATTTCGAAAATCGGTCCAGTGGAGGCGGGGTGAGAGGCGAAAAACGAAAAAATAAAAATCGCTCAAACTTTGGTTTTTGACGATTCCGAGGCTCCTGATCATTTTCGGAAAAAAATTGTGGGGCTGTAGGGAGTGGAGGAAGGTACGTGAAAATTTTTTGATCTTAGCATATTAGTGCTCTCCCAACCCCAATAATTCCATGCACCTAATAGCCATATTTCACACATCGTAGAGTTTCCCGTACATTTGCCATTAAAACTTAAAATTATAGAAAATGTTTTCGATCCGCGTTCTTCTGCGACCCTCAAATCAAACATAATTATACGTAATTATACCCTCCTCAGTCCCAAGGCTTGCTTCTTCGTTATTTTTGTAGAATTTTCTGAGAAATACGAGTATTATGGACTAAATAAAGCTATAGATCCAGTCAAGTGAAATTTTATTAAAAAGAAAAAAATTACAACATGTCCCACATTTTGGACATGAGGACTTACTTTATCTCAAAGTTTAAGAGTGAAATTCAAAAAAACATTGTCTTTCTGGAGAAATACAAAGATAAACCTGGCACTTGAGACAGTTGAACCGAGTTTTCTTTGTGCAACCTTCATTCCTGCACCGCATGTAGGAGTTTTTGTCATTTACACTACATATCGGCAAATTATCGTTGCCGGTTTTTCTGACGTCCTTGGGTGGCAATGATGTTGACTTTTTGCGTTTTGCCGGTATATTCTCTTCGGCACTATCATTGTTCCCCCGATCGTGTAAAGTCTTCTGTCTTTGGCCTCCGAGAGCTAAAGATCTACCAATATAGAGTTTGAACTCTAGCAAATCCATGACGGTATTCTTCCGATCTCCACGCGCTAAGCAATCCTGCTTGTACTCTATCCACGCATTAGTGATGGCCAAGTCAATGAAGTGCCAAAATACCCGCACTGGCGATTTCTTTGTTCGCATGCAAATGCGATAATATGAAATGAATCGATCGCAAAGATCTATACCGCCCATCGAGCGGTTCTAACTAACGATGGAAAATATATTTTGAGTTTTTTTTGTCCCACCTGTGAAGATCGCATATCGGCGCAGAACCTGACGATGTAGATGCCATTGTGACGGCTCTGCTGTCCATCCACTTCAGTAATGACATTTTTTTATCAGTTCTCTCCCATTCATCATACGAACCCCGACCATTTGATAGCAGATCTTTATCTTTTTTAATTTTATCTCTTACAACTCGAGGCACCCTATTATTCATAATAGTTCCTACTCCTAAGATCTCTTTAGTTAATAAATAGTCGAGTAGGTTGAGGGAAGTGAAATAACGATCAAAATAAAGGACAAATCTTCAGAAACCTTTTTCACCACACTCCCTCCTATGCCCAAATCCTTCTCTGGTGAACCATCTGGCCAGGTTTTAGCTTCCTGGTAAATGAAGAAATTTAATACCAACCCTGAGGGTATCGCCAGAACAAAATTTTTCAACCCAACGGGATTTGGTTTATTTTTAACGTATTGGACTAAGCTTGAAGTGCCTGTAAATGGTATCATTTGTTCATCAATAGATAAGTCTTTTGTCCTTGGCAAGGTGATACACTTGGCTCGAACTGAATCACGAATCGGTTGCACTTTCCAAAACGTATTTGATTGGTTTTCTTGATCTGAAATGCTGAGGTTATCAACAACATGTAGGTAGTTTCGTAATTTGAAAATTCGATCTCTAGGTAGTTGGGTTACTATGGGGATGTCGATTCCTTTTATGAAATACAGCCTTAGTCTTGGCAGTCCAAATATACCCATGAGAATATGAATTCCCGTCAGTTTATGATATTCTTCCGCTGTAGAATTCAATAACTTTTTTTCATTAGCCTGCATAGCTTTGATGTGGCTTTGCTTAGATACATTTTCCCAAAACTCGTCAGAAAAGTATTGTGAGAAATAATCTAATGGAGTCCAAAACTCACGATCTTTCTGTAAAACCCATTCTGGATCGAGGCAAGCAATATTCTGTTCCTCGAAAGGCTGTCTTTCCCAGATATGTGCAGTATTAGTTTTCTGAAGCTTCATAATCTTCTTTGACTTCTTGTGGCTGTATCTGAGCATCTTCATCTAACGTCGCTGTAGGGAACGCATCATCTTCATCATTGTCATCGCTTAGAAAAAAATCACTGCTGTTTATGATTTCTTCTAAATCGGCATCAGTGAGATATTTTTTGGACTCTAAAAAAAGAATAATTAAACAAGGCATAAATTTACAAAAAAGTAAATACTAAAAATAAGTAGGCAAAACAATTACAAAACCAAAGTATGTCCAAGTAAGTATAGTAAAGTCCCAGTATCCAAAATGCTGTACAGAAAACGTAGACCCCTTTTTACAGTTTCTTATTACTGTTAACATCCAACCGACATTATCTAATCGAAAATACATTCATATTCTGTCGATTCTCACATAGTAATAATTAATCGATCAAACGAACTTACCTTAAGTGAAGTTCGATCGTAATTATACGAGGGTCCATTCCGAAGACATCACTTTGTTTATTTACTATGTAGTCTGGCCCTGGATTACTAGCCGCACACCAAGTTAAAAGAAAAGAGATCCCCGCTCCCGTCCCGTCGCTCTCCGGTCTTGCCCATTGACTCATTTGTTAAAAGAAATGGTACTTGCTCGCAACTTGGGAGGGTTGAAAAAAGGGGTGGGAGTGATGTCTTCGGACTGGACCCTCGTGTAATTACGATCGAACTTCACTTAAGGTAAGTTCGTTTGATCGATTAGTTATTCTTTAGGTCCAGTCCGAAGACATCACTTTGTTTATTTACTATGTAGATGTTTAAAGATAGAACACAGTTGCGAGCGATCTGATGGTGTTATAAAGTGGAATCAATATATTTAGTATTCCTATGTAACAAACATAAAATAAATTCTCAAATTGTAACCTAAAGATAACGTTGATATGAGAAATAACTGAAACACAGGAAACATGTAACAAACTCTCAAGAGTATTAGAACTTAACTAATCAGACCAATTTTATATCTAGGATTGCATTTGCAAACTCATTGTTTGGTTGTAGAGGACGATTATAAAATCTTGCAAACGTGGAACGTTGCGTCCAACCAACTGTTTTACATGTTATCTACGGAAACGCCTTTTCTTAACGCCTCAGAAGTCGCCGCATGCCTTACTGAATGAGGCGTAAAAAGTGTTGTTTCTACTCCTGCAGAGGCAAGGGTCTGTTTTACCCATCTGCTTAAAGTGTCTTTAGACGCCCTGCCATGGGGTTTTTTCCCTGTCACAAATACTAAATCGTTATTGGGTTCTCTTAAAGAAGCCGTTCTATCAATGTATTCTTTCAGGATTGTGGCCACGCAAAGAAAGGGGTTTTGTTGAAAAATCGGGATGTGCAGAGTGGGTTGAATTGTGCAAAGATGCCAATAGAAATTGTGCATATTTCTTTAAAAATGTGCATATATGATATATGTATACTAATTTTCTGGCGCAGCCGCCAATTTCAAAAAACTGAAATTTCATGGAACCATTGACGTGGTCCCTGCCGCCAGGTTTTTCTTCCATGGTTTTCTGCTAAGTATATCTTATATTATATATAACGTGCTACTAGATGAGCAACAAAACAACCCATTGTTGTACCTACTTACCAACTTACTCACCAAGCACTAAACCGATTTGAAAAGGAATCGCGTATTTTACGTGTTTCCTAACGCACAAACAAGCCGGGCGACCGTACGGCTGTAACACCAAAAACCGAATGACTCAATGGGCAAGACCGGAGAGCGACGGGACGGGAGCGGGGATCTCTTGTCTTTTGACTCAGTGTGCGGCTAGTAATCCAGGGCCGGACTACATAGTAAATAAACAAAGTGATGTCTTCGGACTGGACCTAAAGTATAATTGAAATAAGTGGTAGAAATACAAAAACTTACCAAATTTACGTAGGTACGACATGGCAAACCTCAAAACGAGCACACCATCATAGTTACAATGACGAAACATCGGCGTTGCCAAGTTTTCGAGGTGGAGCGAGATACTATGCATAAAACTATGTCCAGCGCGGAGGACTTCGGGTCGGAGAGGGTAAAATATTACGTTGATGTTGTGCTAAAAGCCTTTAGAATATGTCCAGTGGGCTAAGGGAACGAAGAGGAAACAGAACCACACACGAAATCAACAACACGCTTGCAGCGATGCCGCGCAGATTGGGGAAAGGGACACTAACTACCGGTAGGGCAGGGAAAGAATGTTTTGCACAATTTCTCTGTTGTACATGTTCGTTATAAAATAAATATTTTTTTGTCTATCACGTGATACTCCTATGCTGTAAAAATTATGTTGACTTATCCAGCACCATTCAAATACTATTTAAGAAAAAAACAATTTCCAGTGACATCATTTAAGCGTCTGTATCCCAGATGAGGAGGCTCGTAGGCAATATTTGTCTCAGTCATGCTCAAAGTGGGCGATAACGCCTCTTTTTAGGCGCTGAAGACCTAGGTGGGGCGGTAAAGAGCCTAGAGGAGATGATGAATTAGCGTTATTGTTTACTTAAAACGAAAATTAAAACTTACCTACACTAAAACATGAGAGGCCGCTAGACGAAATAAGAATCGTTGGCCTATAGGAACTTGATCACCTATCCCCTTCCACACACAATTGTTCAAGAAGATGTTCGTCTCGGGAGAGGGTATCTGCGTTTGAAAATTGAAGAGCGGGGGAGTACAGGCGGCCGTCGATTGCTGCTTCTGAGAATGAATATACCCTTCTTACAAATGAAGAGCGGAGCGTTATCGCCCACTTTGAGAAACACTGTTCTCGGACATCCTGTACAACGTTGTGTAGTTTGTTTTGTGCGCCTAACTCGTAATCATTGTTTCATTATAGGTTACTGTATTGCTTCGCTGAGCGACCCGAAGAGAAAAGGATCCCATATACCTTACAGAGATTCTAAGCTAACGAAGCTTCTAGCGGACTCGCTAGCGGGAAATGGGGTGACTCTAATGGTAAATGAAAATCTATAATTTATATTTATCATGGTTAACTGATTTTCGATAATTTCAGATTGCTTGCATTTCCCCCGCAAGATCAAACATATTTGAAACAATAAACACTCTTCGTTATGCGGCCCGAGCCAAGAAAATAAGGACTAAGCCGGTTGTGTTAATGGTAAGTGTTCAAAATATAGTCGTGCATTTAATTTAGAATGGGAACATGATAAAATATGTCCTCCAATTTTATCCCCATAATTATTGATTTCATATATTCAGGTATGTATAGTTTCAATGTCATACATCTTGAGACTAGTTAGGCAAGTCACGATAGCTTCCCTCCATTGTACTGATGTAGGACTGGACGAATGTATTCATCCAGATGAAGTGGATATTAATATCTCGGACGGGAACACAACAGATTATATATATATATACAACAAAAAGTAGGAAAATATTGGGGTAAATCCGCAAAAAGGAGGAAAGTGGATTCGAGCAGAAAATAGGATAGGTAACCCGAGCGATCCGTATTTCTGCTGGTTGGCTTCATCAGGGCCGAAATGAATGCACATATGAAACTAAAAAAGTGGATTCGCATGCCCACACATCCGGATACGAGTGTAACTTGAGGAACCGGAGATGGAGAGGAAAAAAAACGACACTCGAAATCCACAACAAGGGCCAACCTGTATCCGGATGTGTGGGCATGTGTATTTACTTTTGTAGTTTCATATGTGCATTCATTTCGGGCCAGATGAAGCCAACCAGCAGAAATACGTATCGCTCGGGTTGCCTATCCTATTTTCTGCTCGAATCCACTTTCCTCCTTTCTGTGGATTTGCCCATTATTTTCCTACTTCTTGTTATATACATTTCTCCGCATGATCATTTTCTCTCCCTCTCTCTATATATATATATTGAAAAATATTTCGATATTCATAATCTAAAATCAATTATATGGAAATCTTCACATTTGTAATAGAAATATCTTCTTAATAAAAATACTATTAAAACATGTATGCTAGTAAAAATGTTGATCTATAGTAACTTTTGAAATTTCTAGCACATTACCTGGATAACCATTCCATCTTGGCTGTGTCTTCTGCTTGTTGCCTCCGGAGTTTACATCTGAAATAATTTTGTGTTGTATTAGGGTTTTTCCCCCATCCCCTATGTTTGAACAGCTAGTTGCTGACTAAAATGATGAGTTTCTTGCATTTTCTTTCGTTGATTCTGAATGCGGAACTCACAAGACGAGCATTTGAATGAATCTTCAAATAGATTTTTCTTTTACATTATAAGAGATTGTGAAAACGTTAGGCATCATAACTGGCATTGACTTCAAGTCTAAAATATGAATAATGCCAAGGATCCCGTTAATTACCAAACCTTTTACACTGAGAACGTTGACAAGTTACTACGGCTATTCTGTATATTTCATTTGTTATTACTGGATACATTCATTTCCGGGCGATCGTACGTGTATTTATATTAGTAGATATATTATAAATCAAATTTTGTATTTCAGGACCCACGTGAGGCTCTTATCATCAGTTTGAAACGAGAAGTAGCATCATTGCAAAGTGAAAACGAGTATCTAAGGTCGGCCCTGAACGTTTATTCAAGCTCTTCGAGTGGCGATGCTTCGGGTAGGTTTTTCAGAGCTTCAAAGACTTGGCCGTTTTCATTATTTCTTTATGTTGGTAAAATCTTTATCCTCCATATACATGATTCTCCATTTCTTATCTTTTAAGTCTTATCAAAATCCAGGGGTTCCATCTTAAAATCCGCGGTGTTCTGGCATTTAGGCTTCTGCTTGCGCGGCTGCTTCGATATAAAAAAAGTATCTTTAAGGGTGGCCGGAATTCCACACACAACTACAAAATATTTTAGGAATGTTCTCTTATCGTCATTACTATATGCAATTAATTTTACTTCCAAAATTTATTGATTTTCACGAACAGCATCATCAAATGTGTAGGAAGTCTTCAAACATAGTCCTTTCTCAAATATTTTAGTAAAAACAAAATGCGAAGCTTCGGTATATTTACTCGTTTATGTGTAAACAGTTGAAGGATTTAGATAACTAACATAACTCATTAATATTTATATGAACCAAAAAAATATCTGTAACGTATATAGTACAGGATCCTATATTCATGATGGTGCGCTTAGACGTTGAATTAAAGTTCCTCTTTCCTGTTGCGTACCTTCCAACTTAGGTAAAGTTCCAAAATTTATGGAAAAGTCGCAATTTTGCATCCTTCTATAAACCTTTATAATTGTATCTTATTTCTTATTGTCATCGTACACAGTTATGAACCTACAATATAACTATTTGGTACTCATACATCATCCATTTCACCCCCACAATTCCATTCAACTCGAGTGTAGTCCCCAACTTTGGACTTTCCAATTCAACAGAATTTTGGATGTGCGTCGAGGCATACTTGAATGGACAAGCTTGCATTGTATCACTCACAGAATTTGTATCTAATAGGCTAGGGAATGATGGACTCTCAGAATTGTGCATGGGATCCCAGACTAATAGTTTTGTGCGAGATTCCGCGTCATCATCTATTTTTAAAGTTAACATTGCTGTCGAGATATGGGCGCTTTTCTCTCAAGGGAACGTTAGGAAAGCTGTGATCAAGCCTCTGCGGCCTAATGGATAAGTCATCGGCCTCCTAAGCCGGGGATTGTGGGTTCGAGTCCCACCAGAGGTACTCGAAATTTTTTGCATGTTTTTGCTGCAAATTTCATTTCGACTAAGTACTATATGAAAATGTAATGCGGATGTCAGTCACCTCGGTAAACACATTAATTTGTTCTATTAAATTAGAAATAAATATGGAAAATGGAAAAGTTTGCTAATATTTATTTTCGCCTCTTTGAATTATCGAGTCTTAATGTATCAGGTCCACTAGCAATAGTTAGACCCTTTTGAGGACATAAAATGCAACACTCAGAATTATTTATTGAATTTTGATAAAAACTTGTCTAAATTGTCTGAGGTACAGTACACCAAAAAGACACCAGTCACCTAATCCAATCAATGCCGCGATGACTTAACGAATGTGTAGCGAACAGAGGAGCTTCAACACATTATTAACATTAAGGTGGGATATCTCAGCGATTCTGCGAAATTTCGAGCTAAAATTTTAATCACTTTCTATTTGTCAGTAGACCTAAAACTTGTAAAAGTATGCTCAAAATGACAGCACTCCTAATGTATGGATGGATTTTACAACAGACTTATATTGCATATACAAAAAGATGCCAACTAGAGATACAATTTTGCTGGGTATCTTTTTTCATTAAACACTATTTTTCCTTCATGTTAAAAAAACTATGGAGAATTGTAAAAATTTATTTCAGGCAACTAAATTTGTAAGAAGATAAAAATACTTCCATAATGAGATTAGCCAAAACATAAAGTTATTAACAACCAAAAAAAATCACCAAAACAACGTCATATTAACGTTTGATTTTGCAAAGCTTCCTAAATAACCTTTAAAATTTGATGAAACTTGGTAATTATTATCTCTACATATATTAGAATAAAAAATATAGTTACATGTTTTTTATAACAGTTCAAACTAACAAATTTTCGTTTTTTGATATACATTGCAGTTTGCGCATTTAGGAACACCTTGTCCCAAAAATAACGCCAACTATGATTTTATTTAAAAAATGTATAAAACTGACTAGGTGTGTAGGTATATAAAAATTGAAAATGATGAGTATCAACGTAACTTTTTATTTAAAGTTTATTGAGACATATAGACGCATATCACAAATCCGATCTTTTTGACAAATAAAGCAATACTAACTTTCTTGGAGCTAAACTTTTATTTTTTACTTCGAATTGATTCTCTCAGTAGATGAAGAAAAAAAATATCTGACAACAACTTGTGCCATTGAGTTAATTGCTTTGCGTCTTTCTCGTTGTCTTATTATCAGGAGTTTTGGTTTTTCTTGTTGTTTTGTTTTAACTTTTACTTCGGTATTGTTATTTTCTGTACCAAATTCTCTCCTGTTTTCTTCACGAATTTTACCCGCTCCTTCTTTCGGATTCATCTTGATGCCTTCCTTAATGTTTTGTGCCTCATTTTCCTTTCTATCAAGATTACTTTCAAATTAATCAGCTTGTTTTGAAGAACTGGGCAAATTTAAATAATCTTCTATTTTCCTTCCAATCTTTTGGTGACTTTCACTGGCTTCCATTACGCCTTGGGTCTCACTTTTCTTTTTTTTAATTTATCGCCATCGAAAGATTCTCGGCTGGCGTTATTAGGCACACAATTTATAGTCCCGATTTTACAAAAACTGCTGACGTTTTGATTCAAACTATAAACTAGATCTAAAATAAACTTACCAAAAATGACGTGGATATCAACAAAAATAATTTACACAATGATTAAACAACAAAATTCTGGCAACAAAAACTTTATCACCAATAACGTTGTTGTTGGTAAATGATGGCGATGCATGTGGCAACACCTGTTGCATTGAGGAAGACGATCCATTGCGTTCCTAGATAGAAACCTACCAAACTATATCACATAGTTTTTGAACTGCATTGGTGGATTTCTGAATGATGGCTTCTGGCGTTATTTGAGTCAAGTACCTTAGTCAATAATTTTGTAAAAATATACTCAGTGACATATAAATCCGAACACCCAGTTTAAATGGTTTTATTTTAATAGAAGTTGGTGAATGTATTTATCTTACTGTAAATAACAAGTGAAAAAATTTTCGGCCTAATCAGTTGGACATTCCGGTTTTTATACTGCTTTTTTTTAATTCACTAACGCTCTAAAAATGAATATTTCAGCCGCAGTAAAGAATCACGTTGGCGGATTTTGGTTCTTGACATCCTTTACGATCGGTTACGATGCCTAGAGTACGGAGACCTGTACGATTTCGTCAACTTAGTGAGTTTGTTAGGGGCCGTATAGTGGGACTTCGAGAAGCTGGACTTTCTTTTCGGGCAATTGCAGTTAGAGTGCAAAGAAGTGTAGACACTGTGGTTAGGTGTTGTCAGGCATGGCTTCGAGAAGGCCGTACGCAAAGAGCAAGGGGCACTGGACGCCGCCGTAGAACAACAGACCGTGAAGATCGCCGCCTAAGATTATTGGCCTTAAGGGACCGTTTCTCCACTACCAGGTCCATTACAAATGAATGAACACGGAAGACCTATTGGCATGCGAAGTATTTACCGACGAATGAGAAGTTTTGGCTTGTTTTCATACCGGCCACACTGGGTCCTCCCTTTAACTCGAGAACACCGACGTAATCGCCTTGAGTGGTGCAGCAGGACAACGGTCACTCTGGGATCAGGAATGGAACATATTGTCTTTAGTGACGAGTCTCGATTTTGTTTATGCATGCACGATGGTCGTGCCAGGGTTAGAAGGCGACGTGGTGAAAGGAGGAATCCACAGTTTTTTGTTGAAAGACATGTTCATCACACTGTTGGAGTTATGGTTTGGTGTGCTGTAGCTTATGGTTCCAGGTCACCTTTAATCTTCATCAGAGGTAACATGAACGCGCAGCGTTATATCCACGAAGTTCTAGAACCCCATCTTTTACCCTATCTTGACACCCTGGCAGATCTATCTTTCCAACAAGATAATGCCCGACCACATGTTGCAAGAGTCACAATAGACTTCTTTCAACATAATGATGTCACATTGTTACCATGGCCACCAAGATCTCCCGACTTATCCCCAATTGAGCACGTGTGGGATATGATGGGTAGGAGATTGCTCAATTTGTAACGTCCTCCTCCGACTCTAGAAGCACTCCGAGAGGAGTTGGTGGTTGCCTGGAATGAGATACCACAGGAGGACATTGACCAACTGATCAGAAGCATGCCTAGGCGCGTTGGAGAATGCGTAGCACATCTGGGTGCATCCACACATTATTAAAGGTCAAAGGGCTTTAAAGCAGTGCAATTATTTTGAAATTTTTATCATTTAATTATTATGCTTCATTAAGTACTTATACAAAATTTTATTAAAATAAAACCATTTAAACTGTGTGTTCGGATTTATATGTCACTTAGTATATAATTGCCACCCTTTTTGGGATTAATGGCCAATTTTTAGAAGCTATTGAGCGACATAACAGCTGCAACAAACTGGAGACTACATATTAAAGGTATTTTCATCTGAAAATCAGTGACCACATATTAATAGGTACTTCAAAATGTTTTTAATATTTCGTGGATAAGTGACTTTTCCAAATGATAGCAATTGTCCAGATAATACTTTTGCATTTTTAGGTGGACCCTAAACAATATGATTCTGTTATAAAATCCGTCTATACGGGTTCGTTTTTGTCTAGCTAGCCTTTTATCTATTTCTAGAAAAAAAATGTATGGCTTTACAACGGAATTGGGGGCACATGAAATGGGTCCTGGATTTCGGATAAAAAACGGTGCTGAGTACTTACTACTAAACATCAAAGCTTGTAAAAGTCAATTTTCCGTGTATATTCCAAAAACCATGAAATATTTGAAAATGACCAATTTGCTGCAGTAGGACATTATTATTTTTTTTTAGAATTTCTGAATTGTTTTTATTATTTTCCGAGGTCTTGTGGCTTCGCTTGAATTATTCTAAATTGAGTATATCGTACCATAGCTCAAATAAAATTGAGTGTATTATGTTTGTCAATGGATTCCGTAAGCTGTAGTAAAACGTAACAAAAATTGTCCATTCTCAGAGAGGATAATAGCCCAAACCCCACCTCACGTAGACCTGGAGGAACTAGCCAAGCTCGAAGGACCTCAACTGGCCGAACTGGTCCGTCTGTACATGAAAGAAAACGAAGCTCTTCGTAAGGACAACGGAGACTTGTTCTTATCCAGAGATCTGCTCCAGCGGGATCACGAGATCGTCTGCAGAGAGAACGAGCGACTGCTGAAGAAACTCGAAGAAGTGAATTCGTAAGTTGATGAGAGAAGTGTATTCTATCCAATATTCATCTTAGAGTATGTTGCAGGTCTCCACTCATCCCGGCGCGTCCAGCCTTTTCCGCGGACATTTTGAGCGGAGACCAAGAATCTTCTTCCACTAATATATGGACTAATCCCATTCCAGATACGGATAATAAGACAGCAGTAAGTTTGCCAGATGTAACGTTTTATTTTAAATTCCAGGCTCTCATTTATGATTTCCAATTGAAATTGAAAAAATACTAAACATTTTAGGAAACAATATTGTTAAAAATGAAGCAAAGTTATACAAGAAGTACAAAAAGAGACACAATAACCATCTACGAGTCCCTTCCAACTTCAGTTGGCCCAACTATTGAAATCTTAGTTTTTTTCTTATCAAACACAAATAATAAAAATGTAGCAGGGTGTTATAGGTTTGAAAAATTAACAATGAATATTTTGATAATATATAGTAGAAAACACCAACTTTATCACTCCCTAATCAAATTTGCAGCATAAAAATAACACATGTTGCAATTACAGCATATCAACCTATTTTCATTTTAATGCAAAATAAGTCTATGACGCATAGGTGGCTGTGAAAAATAAAAGTTATGACAATTGCTTTTATTAATCACAGCTGTCAGAATACGTTTAAAATACTTTTGGGTAGTTGCGGTTTCCAAAATGGGTAGAAGAAAGGTCATTAGTGAGAAAATCCGGTTACTGGTAATTAATTTTTTTAATTCTGGGAAATCAAACTCAGAAATTGCAACTCTCTTAGACTTATTGCGGTACAGTGTGAGAAATATTGTTAGAAGATATAACGTAACTGGTTCGGTTAATATTAAGCCACGATATGTGAAAAAAAGTAATATCACAAATGCCGACCGAAGAGCATTAAGAAGAATAATCGTGAAACACAGGCGTGCCAATTATTTACAATTAAGTGCTCTGTGGAGTGACGCTGTTGGAAGGAGAATTTCGAGGTCCACAACTCATAGAGAGACCCACAAACTGGGATTTAGCACTTGCAAAGTAAGCTTTCTTATAAAAAAAGTGAAGTAAAAACCCTAAAGTTGCACAACTTGTTTATAGGCCAAAGAAAAGCCACTATTAACTCCACTGCAAAAGAAAAATCGGCTTAGATGGGCTAAAGAACATAGACAATGGACACCTCAACAATGGTGTGCAATACAATGGAGTGATGAGGCCCGATTCGAAGTTTGTGTTGGTGACAGTCGCAGTAGAATTATTCGCAAAAAAATGAAGCATTATGGTCTGGGGCAGTATGTCATCAAAAGGAGTAGGAAAACTTCATTTTATTGATGGAAATGTGGATACATACAAACATTTGGCAATTTTCGAAGAATCGCTTTTACCAGTGATGGAAGAATGTTTGACATCCGGCCAAGATTTTGTGTTAGCAGTCCAGATCTGTCACCTATTGAAACTTTGTGGCACAGAGATGAAAAAGGTTCTACGACAACATCCTGGTCGTACAATCACCGAACTGAGACAAAAGCTTCAAGAAATATGGGATTATTTTACACCAAATTTTTGCCAAAACTTGGTTAACACTATGCCCCAAAGAATTTCAGCCGTAATAAAAAATAAAGGTGATGTTACCCAATAGTAATGCTTCAATAGTTGCTTTGTTAACTTCGCGCATTTATTCGCACATTGTTTATTTGTTCAGATGTTCTATTAGTCTAAGTGATTTCAAATATGTCTTTTTTTGCGACTAGAGTGTATCTAAAATGTTTTTGAGAAAATAAATTGTTTTAGAAGTAAATAGTTTCGTCATGTTTAGTTTGTAAAGGCGTATTTTGGTACAAATCTTGAAGTGGGCCAACTGAAGTGGGAAGGGGCTCGTACATGAACAGTACCTACAAACGTCTTAGAACTGAGGTAAAGCGTCAAATATCTGTGGTCTATAAAAATTTTACACGAAATGTTAAGATGTCCATCTCTCAAGATCCTAAACATTTTTGAAGCTTCATGCATACAAAAAATCGAACTACTAGGATTCCTGGTAAAATGAAGTTGAATGACTTCTCACTGAACGATCCTTACTGTGCTGTCAATGCATTTGCAGATTTTTTTCAATAGTGTTTCTGTTGATCCATCTACTCGTAATGATTTTATTGAAGGCAGGAATCCTACTAGTCAGGTTAACATATGTTTCAATAACTTTCATGAAAATGAGATTATTGCTGCATCTAAATGCAAAAATAACGGCCGGCCCAGACAACATCCCCTCATTCATAGTCAAAGATGGTATTCATGTCTTTGTTAAGCCGTTATTAAAAATATACAATCTGACTATAGAAACGAACACATTCCCTGATGTTTGGAAACTTTCTAGAGCGACACCTATTTTCAAATCAGGGGATAATACTGATATTAAAAACTATAGAGCGGTGGCAATATTGTCAAATTTCTCCAAATTGCTGGAGATAATATTGCATAATAGAATTTACTCCGCAGTGCATAGATCTGTCCCCTTTTCAGCATGGTTTTCTTACTATGAGATCCACAGTAACTAATTGAACAATCTTCACTCAGTTCGCTGTTAAATTTGTCGATCGGCAAGGTCAAGTAGATGTAGTATATACTGATTTTGCTAAAGCGTTCGATAGGGTGAACCATGGCATACCCTTGAATAAACTCTTTTATTACGGATTCCATTCATCAGCTGTAGTTAGCACTCATTCAAAGTTATCTTCATGAAAGGAAGCAATATGTTACTTTTAATGGGTTCAAGTCGTACCAGTATATAACTAAATCGGGAGTGCCTCAGGGTTCAAATCTTGGTCCTTTATTGTTTACCTTATTTATTGATGATGTTGTGCATTATTTAAGTTGTAAAAAGCTCCTCTTTGCGGATGATTTAAAATTATTCAGGATTATTGAGTCTGAGGCTGATTGTATTACACTTCAGCGTGATATTGATTATCTAGTAGCTTGGTGTGACGAGAATAATTTTTTTCTTAATGCGTCTAAGTGTAGTGTAGTCAGCCTTTCCAGGAAAACTTCTGCTTGTAAATTTAATAATAAAATTGGGGATGCTTACATAAATCGTTATAACTCAATTAAGGATTTGAGTGTAGTGTTTGACCATAAACTTAATTTTTCACTCCACATAGCTCAAAAGGTGAGTGAAGCTTGGCTGGCGTACGGTTTTATTGTGAGAAACTGTAGAAGCTTTAGCCGCCCAGAGTCACTGTTGGTTTTGTATTCTGCATATATTAGATCGAAATTGAGTAGATAGGGTTTGTAGGTTCTGGGACGCCCTTGAGCGCCGACTTTCGGTGCCAAACGACCTTGAGAGCTGACCCTCGGTGCCAACCTTGAAATGTGACCTTGAAGTGTGACCTTGAAGCGTGACCTTGAAACGTGACCTTGAGTTACATAGTGACCTTGAAGTGTGACCTTGAGTTTTCGAGTGACCTTGGAGTGTGGCATTGAAATATGACCTTGAAATGTGACCTTGAAGTGTGACCTTGAAATGTGACCTTGAGTATTTGAGTGGCCTTGAACATATATGACCTCGAGCACTCTCGACCTTGAGTGGGTGTGACCTTGAGTGGGTGTGACCTTGTAGGAGTGAACGACCTTGAGATGTAGAAGGGATGACCTTGGAAATATGTGCTTAAATTGTGGAACCCGCGGAGAGAAGTCAGTTGTTAGCAAACAGTGTGTAAGAAGCAATCAGTCTACAGAAATTTAAGTTGCCTCAAGAAGAAGAAAATTGGGATGATGATCGATGGCTAATGGATACCACACCACCTCATCAGCCGACGGGATCCAGGATGCCCATGGATACTACACTGGTTCGGCGGGATGAATTCCGAAGATATGGACCCAGGAACCCTGCTCCGGAAGTGCCGACGGAAGAAAATTGGCATGATGATCCACCTTATGAAACGGGATCCAGGACGCCCATGGACACTACACCGGTTCGGCGGGATGGATTCCGAAGATATGGACCCAGGAACTCTGCTCCGGAAGTGCCAACGGAAGAAAATTGGGATGATGATCCACCTTCTGAAACGGGATCCAGGACGCCCATGGACACTACACCGGTTCGGCGGGATGGATTCCGAAGATATGGATCCAGAAACTCTGCTCCGGAAGTGCCAACGGAAGAAAATTGGCATGATGATCCACCTTATGAAACGGGATCCAGGACGCCCATGGACACTACACCGGTTCGGCGGGATGGATTCCGAAGATATGGACCCAGGAACCCTGCTCCGGAAGTACCAACGGAAGAAAATTGGGATGATGATCCACCTTCTGAAACTTACATCCCTAATGTAGAAATTAGACCCCTTATTAGGGATGTACCTCCAGGCATGTCGCGTAATGCGAGACTGAAATGGAGGCTGCAGGAAAGAATTAGAATCCGCCAACTGCAGTAGCAGTGAAGGAAGCAGAGGTGCAGAGAGTGGATATATTGTTAGCAGACGGAAGCAGAGTTGAAGAGGGTGGAAGCAATGTTGTCAGAAGACAAAAGCAGTGGGGCGGCCAAGGAGTGCACCAACAAAAGTAATAAGTGCAATAAAGGTGACCATATCAATATAATTCCAAAGACCGTATCCTTCAACGAAACCAAAAACAAAGTATATACCATATACGCATGGCAATATGCGTACAGAAAAGCACGAAGAATTAGCTGCGAGGTAGCAGATAGATTTAGGTTTGGAAGGCAAGTGCAACTATTCGAAGAAGTGCTAAAAAAGTACTTGACGCTAGATTATAGACAAAAAGTGTTTACAGAGAGGTTTGAAAATGTAAATTAGTGAAGTGAAGGTATGTATGTATGTGATATGCAGAAGATTAGTATGAAGTTAGGTTTTGTAAGTTTTAACTGTAAAATAAAATTGTAATGTAATATAAAGAAAAAAGGGAAAACCCACGCTTAAAATAGTGAAGTTTGGAGTGCACGTATTGCAATCGCGATTAATAGAATCAAACGATTCAATGTCGATGCAGTGTGATTGTACAAATGAAAAGATATTCTGTAATTTGTGTAAATATTCTTGTAAATACATATCGATAACCATTTACATACTGTTTCCTCACAACTCATTGAATAAGAAAAGCTAATATGTTTTAATAATTGTTTTATTTAAAAAAATTATGACATGATAAAGTTCTTATACAAATAAAATACG